GAACAGCTGTACATGCAGGCCCGTTGCCTGGCCACAGGGTCTCCATCGGCCCAGGGCCCTGCCCCAGGCCCTGCGCTGCCCACTCACTTGGAACAGCTGAGCCAGCGGCTCAGAGCCCTGCCCATCTCCCCAGCCAGCCTACCTGGTCCGTGGGTCCACAGCCCTCCCCCTCCTCTCAGAGCACCCAGGCAGCTGCCCCTCCAGGGTAACCAGCCCCCAGTCTCCCACAAGGACCGGTGGCTGAGAGCTGGCAGCCCCCCATTCCCAGAGCCTCCTGTTTTAGCAGCAAGCCCCCTGTGCCCGTCAGACCGTGCCACCCAGTGCTCTGCCCAGGGCCCTAGCAGCCCTGCAGCCAGCACAGAGGAGAAGGCCCCTGGCCCCAGAGGGCATTGAAGGCCACGAACATCAGGCCCCTTTCCCCGCCCCACTGCGGGGACCTGGCCCCGTACAGCAGCCGGCCCTGGCAGCCTGGGGCCAGCGTGCACCAAGGAGAGCCTGGGCCTGCCTGTAAACAGCGGGTGGCACCACGGCTGTGCCAGTGCCAGGGCCCTGCTAGATGCTCCAGGGAGCTGAGCGCACAAACCCAGCAGGCGGGAGCTGGGGGGCTGGTGCAAGTCTCCCTGGAGCTGTACTCAGTGCGGGGTCTGGGCCTGTGAGACACGGGTCAGAGCCCCTATGCAGCTCCTGTCTTTCACCCTCCCCCCCCTTCCCCAGGCAGGGGCACCAGACCTCATCCGCTCCCAGCCCCTTTCCGGAGCACGCGCCTGGGACCAGAGGGTTGGCTGCTCCCCCCTTTCAGTTCAATGTTTACACACTGGTTCCAGTGGCAACGGGCCCTGCCACCCTCCCCTGCACAGACAGACCCTGGGGCTGCAGCAAGGTGAGCCCCGGGCCCCCGGCCCCGTCCAACACGCCCCTTCGAGAACTTCCAGTTGGCATGTGATTGAAACTCTCCTGCTCGTGTAGCACATCTGTCAGCGGCGGCCTGTGTCTGTCCATCCCTGGCCGGCGCAAACAATGGTAAACATGGATGCATGACAGTGAGATGTTTTGCACTATTTTGACTTTTCTGGGCTCTGTAAAATAATTTTATTATACCTGACAGTAAAAAGAAAAGCACACCTGACCGCCAGCTCCGGCTCCTGCGTGCTGCGGCCCTCGCTCCGCCCTTCCGCTATGGGCGAAGAAACTAACCCCCGGAGCAATGGCCTGTGCCAGGCTCTGCGCCCCAGCCCCCGAGCAGTGCAGCCCAGCTCCAGCTGCCAACGGTCCCTACATTAGCAGGTACCACACGATCTCGGAGGCCCTGGCTAGTTCTCTGAACAGCCCTCGGTGCACAGTGGCAGTACATAAAGCCTCTGATAGAGGCAGCAAGGGGCAGGGAGGGGGAATTGACTGGTCGACTGACTGTCCGATAAGCAAGTGCCTGTCAACTAGTCCTTAACATCCCTCAACCTCAGCCACTACCATGAACAGCCCTTGCTTTTGGCATCCTGGCCAGAGTGGTAGCTGCCCCCCCCCCTTCCAGTTTCACTCCTTTGTTGGAAAGGCCCAAAACTAACTACCTAGAGTCTGCAGGAGCGAAGAGTGAGGGGGGATTTGAGAGCAGCCTGCAACTCCCTGAAGGGGGGTTCCAAAGAGGATGGAGAGAGGCTGTTCTCAGTGGGGGCAGAATGAGGAGCAATGGGCTCTAGTTGCAGTAAGGTGACGGAGAATTTTAAGCCGAGAGAGAATTTAATCCGAGGGTTCGGATGGGGGCCCAAAACCCCTACCAAATCAATTGCAGACACCCTTCTTGAGCATCCAGCTTTATTCAGGAATGCATTCCAGGGCAAAAACCTCCAGGATACTCTCAGGAAAAGTTTTGCAGCTTCTCAAGCAACTTCTCAAACAAGAGGCAATGTCTTTTGTACTATCTTACATGATAATCACCCTTTCCCCACTGACCACTTCCAGCTGCATGCACACACAGGTCATGCCCCTTTGCACCAAACTCCCTCCAATCATTACCAGCCCCTCACAGGCCCTTTTCAGGCCTTACAACAGGTTCAAACCAGTTTCACCGATCCCCTCCTGATTGTACACCTGTGTCCAAGCACGGCCCTCTTTACAAAGACCAGACTTAACATCCAGGTCACACAGGGGTCATACTGACAACAATTAAGTTTGTCCTTCATTCCCCCCTTTGATCCACTTGTGGATCACAATTCATCTGAAGCATCCTTCCCCATTCATCCGCAAACGTGCAAGTGTCTTTGTAGTTTCTCGGGAGGGTTCTGTACATTTAGCAGAAGCATCTGTTGTACCTTGTTTTCTGCTACGTTCTCTAGCTTTTGTAAGCACCTTTTAATCCAGCATAAGGCTAGCTGGATCATTATGTATATAGAGCATATTAAGACAAGGAACATCAATATTCCTCCCACCACCTTCTTCACGAGTTTGCTTAACCCTATTCCCAACCAATTCAAAGGATTCCAGTCTTGCAACTGCTCTAAATGTTTTTGTCTGGACGGACAACTTTGGATTCCTTTTATCCTTGTGGTTAGGTTTGAACGCACATCAGAAACTTTAACACAACACTCTGGGCCTATTAATCCACATAGTCAAGAGCCAGTCTGTTTTGCTGGGTAAAGATTCGCAATTCATTTAAATTTTCTTGTACCACACCTAGTGCCCCCTCTCTGGTATTCATGAATTTCTCCATAAGCAGGGACATCGTTTTCAAATCAGGATTTGGTTTTGCCTGCCCTTCCCCTGGAATGGTAGTTTCAGCTACTGCAAGGGCAGTTTGTTCTATCCAGTCCATGCTTTCTCCCAAGACCCATCCCACTTGTTCCTGATATGCCCTGGTGGCAAAGTGTCAACGAGCCTCATAACTGGTGCTACGAGACCGAGATAACAAAACCCTGAGGCATTCTGCGGAAGCCTTTTATAGGCAAATTTACCGCATATCCACCAATAATTATACATGTTCCACGAGTCAGACTGATATATCATCATGGCTCGGTTCCCAAAGGTGGTGTTACCTTCCTTGCAAAGGTCTGTACTAGTGGGCCCTCCCCACATGGTTGTTATTTCTGGTTTGAATAGGGTGCACCAGAGGTTTGTGGTAGACATAGTGGAACCATTATGCCATACATGTGTCCCATCCACCTTTGTTATAATGTGTGTGCAGCCTGATTTCCCACAAAGGTGGTACCTGTAAGGTTCCTACCTACGGGGCTTGTACCACTGAATGAGAATTGGATGCACCCAGTCTGGTTGAACCACACAGTTTGGTCATTTTGTTCCAGGAATGCATCACTTACTAGTCCAGTTCTGTTTAACGGAAGGGCACCTATTGGGTATCCAGTATGCGCGCTTTGTGGTGCCCAGGCACACACCCAACAGTTTTGTTTGCGGCTCGTGCCATACCTTCTGCCAGCTGCAGAAAGGTGTTAGTCCCAATACCATCCCCCCTTGGAGCCAAATAAGGCCTATACAAAGGAGGAACAAGAGTTTAGCCATTGTGCAGGGATTGTAATCCTTTCAGCGCTTGCGCGGACGGAGGTTATAAGTAAGACTGGACAAAGGAAAACAGCTTTCAGAAAACCCACCGTCCTCTGTCAAAGTGCCGGTAGGGTCAATGGCAAGGTTGGGTGTAGATTCATGTGGAATGTCAACGTGACTAGTAGGACCAGAAGGGATCTGGCCTGTAGTGAATGAGGTCCAGGTCTTTGATTTCCGATTATGTATATCCCTTGTTCAGGAGAAGTGATTCAATTTCTCTCTCAGAAAGAGGTAGAAAGTCGTTCTCTTCTGGCTCTGGGCTGACAGGTTCAGTAGAAGGCGATATGTCGGGAGAGGCAAATTCACACAACTTATGAGGGTCAACGGTGCAGCGCACGTGGCTTGCGTGTATCCAAGAATCTCGCTCGGCTACATTCACAGCCGTGTTGGTAGTCTGCAGGACCTGGAAGGGACCATTCCACCTTGGAGATAGGCAGTCTATCCTCTGGAATTCTTTTATCAGGACCAATTTCCTGGCTGCACCTCATGGTAAGGCACATCAGTTGGGACAGGTAAGGCTTCTGCAACCTGAGAGGAGAGACTGAAAGCAATTTTTAGACAGATGTATACAGTATTGAAGTAGTTCATCATAACATTCAGACAAGTGGGAAGGATTAATTTTTCCAGGAGGCTCAAATCCAAGTAAAATTGGTCTCCCAAATAGAATTTCATGAGGGATGGGACCATGTTTGCGGTTCAGGGTATTTTGGATATGCATGAGGCAAGGGGCAATGCCTGTGGCCACTTTAGTCCAGTATCAGAGAGAATCTTGCTTAACTTCCGTTTGATAGCGAGGTTTTTCCTTTCAACATGCCCTGAACTTTGTGGATGATATGGGGGATGGAACCGTTCTATGTGGAGGGCTCTACACAGATCTTGCAGGATTTTGGCCATGAAATGGGTTCCCTTATCAGAGTCAATTTTTAAAATTCCAAATCTGAGAATCACCTCAGGAGCTAATTTCTTTAACACAGTAGTGGCATCCGCTCGGCCGCAAGGGAAAGCTTCCGCCCAACCACTGAACACACATACAATACTTAAAACCCACAGGAAAGGGTTAACTCTATAGAATCAATCTGCAAATATTGGAAGGGTCCATAGGCCCAAGTATGAGCACTCAGAGTCGTCTTTTCTCCACCCTGGATAGAGAACCTTTGGCAAGTAGCACAATGGCTGGTGATTTTAGCAGCAGCAGCTTGGTGAATCCCGGGCACATACCAATGCTTCAGAATCTGGTCCTCCCCCTCCCCCCCTTTTGTTCATCTGTCCTAATCCATGGGTAATGGGAGCCAATTGGGACATCAACGTAGAAGTAGAAGGTCGTCCATCTGGTGAAAGCCAAATGTTATCTTGAATAGGACACCCAGCTTTGTACCAATTGTGTTGTTCCTTCTCAGGTGCCCTAGATTGCAACAGGGATAAACCATTTTGGGTCCGGGGAACAGAAACAGAGACCAGGCTTGAAATGGAGCTGGAAGTCCACGGGCAGCTGCATTCCTGGCTGCAGAGTCCGCGTCTGTTTCCTACTGATACAGTATCAGTTTTATCAGTATGGGCACTGCAATGCATAACAGAAAGAGCAAGAGGTAATTGAATAGCAAGCAAGAGGTCATTAACAAGGGATCCATTAGAAATGGCACTTCCCCAAATGGCACCGTCCAAATCTGACCTACAGAATGACAGCTATTAAAGGCATACATTGAGTCAGTATAAATGTTAGCAGATTGATCAGTAGCTAAAATACAGGCATGAGTAAGAGCAATAAGTGTTTTACAAGTTTCGCGATCAAGTGAGGCTATCAATAAATCATCAACATGCTGAACAAGGGTAGGCTCTTTTGGCAAAGAAATTGAATCAAGGTCTCTTTTTGACAATTGTGAGAAAAGGGTGAGACTTTCAGTATATCCTTGAGGAAGTCTGGTCCAGGTCAGCTGCTCCCCTTTATAGGAAAAAGCAAACAAACTGTGAATCCTTATCTATGAGAATGGAGAAGAAAGCTGAACATAAATCTATGGCAGAGAAACATTTAGCACCTGCAGGGATAGAGGACAATATTGTTGCTGGATTAAGAACCACAGGAAATCTGGGGATAACAAATTGATTTACAGCTCTTAGGTCCTGCACAAGTCTATATATCTGTCTCCCTTGATCATCAAATTTCCCCCTCCTTTTTGACTGGAAGTATTGGGGTATTACACACAGACTGCATTCTTATAAGCACTCTTTGTTCCAACAGGGAGGAGATTACAGGCGCTATGCCTTCCTCCGCTTCCTGGGACAAGGGGTACTGAGTCACTCCGAGGGGAAGGTCCGCCTGATCTTTACAGGCTCTGCTGTTAACAGTTTCCCAACTTCATTGGAGTGAGAAGCCCACAAAGACGTTGGTACCTGATCCAGCTCCACACTCTCCAGTTTGGAGTCTGGGTCTATACCGTGTCGTCTGTTGTTAACATCATGAGGAAATTTGGCGCCTGATTATGGGGTATATCAACAAAGACCCCTTCAGGGGAACAATAAATTGTAGCATTCAATTTACAAAGCAGGTCTCTACCCATCAAGTTTACAGGCGTACTGGGAGATAACAGAAAGGCATGCTCCTCTGTCAAAGGCCCAATGGTTAAGGAACACGGTTCACTCATTGCATGGGGGATAGTTACTCCCCCCACCCCCACAGCATTTACTATTTCTCCAGTTCTGGCCAGACTGGGAGCTTCATCCTCTCGTATTATGGAAAGAGAGGCACCAGTATCAATTAGAAATTCATGTTTGTTTCCATTAACGGAAAATGAAACTAAGGCATCGGGTGTAGCAGAAAGAGAGACAGAAGGTAACAGAGAGCATTGCAATGTTTTATCAGTAACCTCTGGGCAGAGTCAGAACGGATTACTCCTTTGTCAGTCCTCCGGAGGGTAGCCTCTGTTGGGTGCACCTGCTGGAAAGGGGTTAGCATTGGGCCACCTCTGTCCTTGTGGCGACTGTCTGTTGGGGCCCTGGTTAAATCTATTTTGTCGTTGTCTTTTATGGCATTCATTTTTCCAATGGCCAAACCCACCACAGTAATTACACACATCACTAGGTTGAGGGCCCCGCCGGGGTCTGTTTAGACCTTCCCTCTGGGTTTTTGGTTGCCCGTGGCCTTGTAAATCTTGTATTTGTAATGCCATTAGGGTATATTTAAGTTCCTTTTTCTTTTGTTTTTCTACTTGCAAGTTTTCAAAAAACTGAGTTGCAGCTTCCAAAATTCTCTCCGTAGTTTCCATTTTCCATCCAATCATATTATTAATAATCTTGTCTCCAATTTCTGGTCTTAAATTCTGCACCAAGGTGGTCACTACTATAGTGCGCATATTGGCATCATTTGGGTTAATGGTGCTATACTTCCTCATGGCTGCAAAGAGCCTTGCCTGAAAATCAATAGGGCTTTCATCTGGCTTCTGTTTGCAGTTATGTACTTTAGACCAATCGGTTTGCACTGGAACCATTTCGGTAATTGCATTCAGGAGACCTGTACGGTCATTTGCTAGCTCGGTACGTTCTGCAGCAGTAGCAGGAATTCCTGGCAAATCTTGTGGCCATTGCTCACCCAGGTGGCCAGGAATATCCCCAGGATCTCGCCTTGCTTGGGTGTAAAGAGCTTGCTTCTCATGAGGCTCCATTATTCCCGAGAGTAGCATGTCAATGTCTCTGTGGGTAGGCTGATAAACTTCAAAAATCTGGCGCAACTCCCTTTGCAAGCCCACAGGATCCTCTCTTAGTTTTGGGAGAGTAAGTCTAAAATTCATGATGTCATTAGGTGTCCAGGGGATGTGGATAAGGGCTGGGGCGCCCCCTGCTGGATTAGGAAGTTGTCTTAGTGGGAAAGGTTTAATTGTCTCTTTAAACAGTCCAGGAAAACTTTTAGGTCCAGCTTCAATAATCACACTCTTGTTTACTTCATTACTTATAGTCACCGAGTTATTTTCGAGATCTATTTTAGTTATAACAAACCCCAGGTCCTTTACCTCTTTAGCCAATGTCCGCTGCAACAGCTGTATGGAGACTTCTGACAGCTTTGGAATTACCGGACTCTGAGTATGCTCGGGGTTAATATCAGTATCTGAGGTTCTTTTGGCCAGGGCAGCCCCCTCCTCCGCCCCTGCAGAACTGTTAGCATGTGCGAGGCATTCAAATTGGGCTGGTGCAGCTGAATTATTGGTAAGCAATATTTGCTGATGCTGGTGGGGGTGGGTGGGAAGGGGAGCTGGGAAGTTGGGGACCCACATGTCTAATAGATCTTCAGGTGGATCTGGCAGCAGAGCTGGTGGCTTCCAGAGGCATGGGTAGAGTCCGCCTGGCGTGCTTGGTGTAGGAATGTGGTTGTACGGAGGGGGACAAACTTTAGAGGAGTCCGATTTCTCCTTTACTTCTGCCAATTGTTTTTTTAGTTTTTCATTTGTGTCCTTCAGGCTAGCCATTCTGGATTTATCTCTTAATTTAGAGGCCTGATCATCCCAGAGGTGCCAATAATTCATCTGGGAGGGGTGACTGGACTCTAAGACACCCTTCAAATAATTTAATTTGTCTAATTGAAAGGTACCTTGAACTGGGAATTGTAGTTCTGATTCTACATAAGTATATTCATTCCACTCATGTGTGAGCTTTGCCAGCCTCCTGAGCTTAAGACCTGCTGGCAATTTCCCTGGCTGGCTATAAATCTGCAGCATTTTACCCAATGGGGTTTTTGGATCTATCTTAGATCCTTTATTCCCCATAATCCCTGTCCTATTACCTATAAGACAGTTCCAATCCGGCACTAACCTGCCTTCCTCTCAGCTTCAAGCCTGAGCTGACCCTGTTTCAGTGGCCTACCACTGTCCCTTTCTAACAAACTTATTCAAAAGGAAGGAGAGAGAAAAAAAAATAAAGAAAAAGAAAAGAGAAAGACTTACAGTTGCTTGGGAAGGGTGTTCTTAACGTAGGGTGGACGCTCACCGCCAGTGAAAGCAGCCGTTCAGGACAGGGAGAGAGGAAGGGAACAGTGAGATTTTGTAACACGGATCTCTTACCGATTTGTATGGCGCCTTTCTGTTCAGTCTCTCCGGTCCGGCCCGTCACAATCACCTGGTGTCCTGATCCATCCCGCTCCTGACACCAGAAATGACGGAGAATTTTAATCCGAGGGTTCGGATGGGGGCCCAAAACCCCAACCAAATCAATTGCAGACACCCTTCTTGAGCAACCAGCTTGAGTCAGGAATGCATTCCAGGGCAGAGTTCTCCAGGAGACTCTCAGGAAAAGTTTTGCAGCTTCTCAAACAAGAGGCAATGTCTTTTGTACTATCTTACATGATAATCACCCTTTCCCCACTGACCACTTACAGCTGCATGCACACACAGGTCATGCCCCTTTGCACCAAACTCCCTCCAATCATTACCAGCCCCTCACAGGCCCTTTTCAGGCCTTACAACAGGTTCAAACCAGTTTCACCGATCCCCTCCTGATTGTATATCTGTGTCCAAGCACGGCCCTCTTTACAAAGACCAGACTTAACATCCAGGTCACACAGGGGTCGTACTGGCAACAATTAAGTTTATCCTTCAGAGGGAAGCTCTAGGCTGGATCGTAGGGAAAACGATTTCCGGGGGAGAGGGGTGGGGAGAACACTGGGAGGGGTTCCCTAGGGAGGGGGTGGAATCTTAGAGGTTTCTAAGTCCCAGCTTGACAGAGCGCTGGCTGGGACGATTGAGTTGGGTTGGTCCCGCACTGGGCAGGGGGCCTGAGGTCTCTCCCAGCCCTAGGACTCTATACAGGGTTCCTGTAAGAGGGCATGTCTACACTATAGGGCCAGTCTAGACGCGGATCTTTCGGAAAGTAAAGCCTTTTCTGAAAGATCCCTTATCCCTCTTAAAAATCTTTTGGAAAAGGCTTTATTTTCCGAAAGATCCGCGTCTAGACTGGTGCTTTTTTCCGGCAAAGCTCCGAGCCCTTAAATCCCTGTTTCATTTGCAATTGCGATATGTCTAATTTGCATCCCATTTACGAAAAAGGGATGCAGTCTAGACACAGCCTATGAGATGTGGTCAAATCTATTATGGTCAATTTCTGGCCACCTGGGTTTGCAAAGGCCCAGGTCTGTCTCCCCAGTGCAGGGAAGAATTCAACATAGTTCAAAGTACCACAGCCCTAGTCGGGAGACTGCCATCGACTTTGAGAGTGATGCATTGTGGGTAGCTGTCCCACAGCACCCAGACTGCTTTGTGTTCTGGATTATGCTCCCGGTGCATGCTGGGACCAAAGCTGTGCAGCGGAGGGTAGCTATGGGTTCATGTCGTCATGCGCTCATCTGCTCCCTGCTCGAGATGAACAGGAGCCAGTCTCTCTCCCCCGCTTCGGCCCTGGGTGCCTGCGCAGAGGCCCTAGCAATGGCAGCAGGGATCCACCTCCAACCAGGGTGATGGTGCAGTCTGCCTCGCTGTGGCTAGTGGCACAGTATTCCCAAAGTGCCATGTGGAGCAGGCAGCTCCTGTCCCGGGTTCCCATGCCCCCGCTGAGCAAAATGGAGCAGCAGCCAGTCTCTGCACCCATGAACACAGGCACACGTCAGTTCTGGTGCTGGGAGACCAGCCCAGAGGGGTGGGACCGCACCGTGCCGTGGCTACAGGCCCATGAGCAGCAGCTGCAAAGGCCCCTTCCGTGGAACTTCACAAACAGCTTTCCCCCACCCCAAAGCGCGCCAATACCAGCATGAGGCGGGCTTGGACCACAGCGAAGTGCGTGGCAGTCGCCTGTGGAAGCCTGCGCCACAAGTCGACTGGTAGGGACCCACATCTACACATGGCTGAATTTCAGAATAAACCCCTAATTCCTCTTACAATGAGGTGGGACGGACCCGGCTGGGTCTGGGCTCAGGCCCTGCTGAGGGCATCCGCTCAGAAGCAGGGCTGCTAACAGCCCTAGACTGGAGACCTTTCCCCAAACAGGTCACAAGCCAGTCACACCGAGCGCTTCAGCTGCCAAGCTGACCAGCAGGAAGCCTCACACACAAAAGCCCTCGGACACCCCAGCTCTCCCTGTGCCACAATCAGCCCCGGGCCTACACACAGGTGAGGGGTTCTAGAACCCGATCTCACCTACCCCAAACGGGTTCTCCCGGTCCCAAAGAACCAGCCACAGATCCCCAGTCAATTTACACTTTAGATCTTACCCACAAGAGCATGCTGGGCAAATTCTCTAGAATCTAAAGGTTTATTAATAAAAGAAAGAAAAGGTTGAGAGTTAGGCTGTTAAGGAGAACACATGGCATGCACCAACCACCAAGTTCTTGATGGAGGCTTTTAGCAGAGATGTTACAAATTGCTATCTAAAAAAATCTCTGGTGTACATCCTAACGTGAGGACGGGTCAGCAATCCTTCCCGGCTCTGTCTCTCGCAAGGCTGCATATGGGATCAGCAGCAGAATTGAAAACAAGACGGAGTCCGCTTCCACGGCATTTTATATCCATTCCTGGCATCGCCCTAGCCAGAGCGGGTCACATGGTCAAGTGACCGGTCTGTTTCACATGCTGGCAGCCATTATGCCCGGATTGGTTGTGTGTTTCCAGCCACATCCCTGAGGTGTGAATGGGCCACTGTCCTTAGAGTCATTGACTGAACAATCCTTCACAACAGGCAGCCCCAGCCCCTTGCTCCATGTCAGGCAGAGAACATTCCCAGCACCAGCAGAGTCCATTCTCAGAACTCCACATACAAACATCACACAAGTGCATGAGTAGCCCGCCTAGAATCACTAGAACATGAGCTTTCATTTGACCCTCACATGGCCCCCTTTGTATAGGCTTTGAGGCAAATATCCTCCCCCCCCCCAGTGATCTGGCTGCTCCCCTTAAAATCCAGTAATGTGACATGAGGTTTAGAGGGGTCTTTCGCAATAGGGGTTATTTTGAAATTTGGCTGCGTGTAAAGGTGGGGAAATACCAGAAGAGCATCTTCCGAAAACACCCGGAGGAAGGATGCAAATGCACAGCGCTATGGGCACTCCCAAAATAAAAAGCGTGTGTCGACTTACCCTTGGGAATCCTTAGGAATCAGCCTGGAGTGGGGACGCCTACTGTGGGGGCTGGTATACACGTGGCCAAGGCACTCAGAACCTTTTGTGAGGGAGGGCTGGGTCTCTGGGAACCATGGCTACCATCGTGGGGGGCTTGGCTGTAGTGGGGCTCCCTAATTGCAGTGGGGTGAGACTACACCCCCATTTTGGCCCCCACTGACCTTGCCACGGAGCACATAAGCCACAAGGGGGGTACTTCTGTGGGGCGGCAGGCGCTGGTGGATCGCAAGGGGACACCCCTGCCTCTCCCGGAGAATCAGAAGGGGAGGTGGAAGTGCCAGTAGCGATCCCTGGCCACCCAGCCCACCCCTTGCTCCCGTGGCTCATGAAGCTGCACAGGGCAGCCTCGCCCCTAGGAAGGAGAACGCGCAGTGGGTGGCTGAATGGGGCATTTAAAGGGAAGGTTCAGGAGACTCCCACCTAGGTTGGGCCGCAGCGTAGGACACCTCCCCTTGGTGACAGCCGCCTGGTGTGTGCGCCCGAAGCCTTGCAAGGGGAGGGGAACTGACTGAGCAGGTGGAGGGGGCGGTGGCAGAGCACCTGGCCAGAGGATTAAGGAGGGCAGAGCAGGGGGCAGCGTAAAGCAGAGGCTTGAAAGAAAGTTGAAAGAATGGCCAGTTTTGAGACTCAGCGGGGGGCCCTGCATGCACTGGGCTTGCCTGCCCCCCCCCCCACAAGTCC